TTAGGAAGCGGAATTTTTCCAGTCTGTCTAGTATGATATTCTTAAAACTAAATCTGTTTCTTATTGTAAGTCTGACAAACCGAGAGACAAGGTGTGTGTGTCTTTTCATAGTCTTAATCAATCCCAGTTCTTAAAGATTTCTTTGAACTAACCATAGAAACAGTTTAAACGGATTAAAATTTGCTTTCGATAGCTTGCGGTGTGAGTAAGTTTGAATCATGAAACAATCTGGCCCCTGTCTGACCATAAAGTATGTGTGTATGTGTGTGTGTGTTTCTCATTACAGTGTTATGCTAAGAGGGAGTGATGATGCTGTGAATGAGAAAGGCTTTAGGAAACGGCTTACAATGAATTATTTCAATTATAGTAGCATTGTTTCCAAATCTGTGAATCTCAAACACAAACAATCTCTCTCCTCATCGATCAGTTCATGCCTTTCTTTCTGTATTTATCTGCATGTGTGGATAAATGTTGGCTTCAGTGTTTACACGTTCGTATATACTGAGTGCTGATTTACATAAAATTTTAATGAAATATGAATCAGCGCATATGCACTAATGTGCTTTCAATCTCATTTTAATATAAATTATAAATGACTGAAAGCATTTTTTTTAAATACTGGCATATATACAGCTGAGTGTGTTTTGAGTGAAAGACAGCAGTGTCCTATTGAAAAGCTACATGTGTTTGCTTTTTCTGATTAACTCTTGCCAGATAAGACAGCCAGTGTTGATTAATTTTCTGAAATCGAATCATCTTAGCCATTCAATTTTGATTTTAATCTTTATATTAATAAGATCTCAAGCAAACACATCTGCCCAGATTTGAACTGGTGAAATCCCTATTTTGGTCTTTGTGGTGAAAGAGTCATTACTCAGGATTGAATCTGCTCTGGAGGTAAAGTCGTGTGTGTGTTGTTATCCCGCAGGGCTGTGAGGGTTTCCAGGTGGATGTTTGTGGTGTGTGTGCAGGAGATGGGAGCACATGTGAGCTGTTCAGCGGGACACTCTTTCTTTCTGTGCTCTCCGTTGGCTACCACAAGATCCTGGACATCCCCTCTGGAGCTCAACGAATCAAAATACAGGAAACACAGAAGACCAGGAACTACTTGGGTAATTGAACTGAATTCCTGCTTGCTCTTAATTCTTATTAATTTACCTCAGGATCATTATCATGGCACATTCCGCAAATAGAGTAGAATTTAGTGTCCCATTAAACATTCAAGACAAAACATGTTTTGTGTTTCGAGAACTCTGAGAAGTTCTGTTAATTTTAACACAAATTTTACTATTTTACCACAACTGTTCAAATGATCAAACAAATAATGTACACTACCGTTCAAAAGTTTGGGATCGGTATGATTTTTGATTGTTTTTGAAAAAAGTCTCTTATTCGCATCAATTTTTTTTTCTAAACAAACAAACAAAACATTTTTACAATGCAAAATAACCATTACTCCAGTCTTCAGTGTCACATGATCATTCAGAAATCATTTTAATATGCTGATTTAGGGCTCAAGAAACATGCCTTATTATAATCATTATTATAATGTCAAATACAGCTGCTTAATATTTTGTGGACACCTTGATATGTATATTTTGTCAGGACTTTTTGATGAATGTAAAATTTAAAAGAACTGCATTTATGTAAAATAGATCTTTTGTAACATTAAAAATGTCTTAGAAATTAAATGCATCCTTGCAGAGTAAAAGTATTAATTACATTTTTTTTTTTTTTATTCCCAACCTCAAATTTTTGATCGGTAGTGTGCCTAATTGGAAATTGGAAGTTTGTCAATAATTAGAAATCACCATTTGGTTCCCGTTCAACTTAATTTAGACTAAATCTGTCATTCATGTTAAACAAAAAATCTGAATATGTTTGTTGGTAGAAAAAAAAAATTAAATATAAAATGGAATAGAATAAACAGCTCCTAAAATATTTAGTTTCATCCTGAAGGTTAAGCACCTCCTATCTTTTTCCATTTTTAAAGAAAGAAACAGGTAGTAGCTGGTTTTACTGTACATGGTTTCTAGCTGGTCCACGCTGGTAGACCACTTTAGACTATTCCAGACAGCAGCTGGTGTGGCCTGGTTTTTCCAGTAGGGTTAATATGTGGTGTGGAACCACCAGTTGTCCTCCTTCCATCCATCATCTTTTTTCCCCCTCTTTGTTTCTTCAAGCTCTCAGGACAGTGACTGGTGACTCAGTGATAAATGGTGACTGGGTGATCGACAGGCCAGGACAGTTCTACGCTGTGGGTACTCAGCTCACTTACAAACGACCCAACGAGATACGCAGCAGAGCGGGAGAATCCATCACTGCCCCTGGCCCAACCAATCAGGAGCTGCATCTCTTTGTGAGAGACCACTCCTACTGTATGATATCACAAAACTGCCCTGACTAAAGATACATATAGAAATTGGTTTAGTGTGGCTGCACTTATTCTGAAAAATCCAATATACTGTGTTAATATATGAAGGAAATTTCCATATTTACATTTTTTTTTACGTTTGTTTTACCCGTATTTTGAATTTAGCATTGCAATGTGTTGTGTTTTAGGGTTAAATGAAATGTCCATAACTTAACGTATAATATCGTGGCAGAAAACGACCAGTACCTTTTGTGTGTGTGTGTGTGTGTGTGTGTGTACCTAGTATTTATCACGTTATGGGGCCAAAATGTCCCCACAAGGATAGTAATACTAGTAAATTTTGACCATGAGGAAACAAGCTTATAAATCATACAGAATGAGTTTTTTTGAGAAAGTAAAAATGCACAAAGTTTCCTGTAAGGGGTAGGTTTAGAGGTAGGGTTGGTGTAGGGCAATAGCACATACAGTTTGTACAGTATAAAAACCATTACGCCTATGGAATGTCCCCATAAAACATGTGTGTGTGTGTGTGTGTGTGTGTGTGTGTGATGTATTGTTTTAGAAAGTTAGGAGGTATATACAGTATTTTTATGATGACATGAGCTTATGATTAAGTTCGTATGAATACTAAGACTGCAGATTTTCAGTTTTACACTCCATATTTTGCAGGTTATTTATCAGCAACCCAATCTAGCAGTGTATTATGAATACATTCTACCTAAAGACCCCATTACCGACAATCATTCAGATGCATATTCTTACTCTAGTGTACTACCTCTGGGTAAGTATTTTCAGTAAGTAATTTTGTCAACATTTACTCACCCTTAAGTTCCAAACCTGTATGAGTTTCTTCTGCTGAACACAAAAGGAAGGTATTTTGAAGAATGTTCAGTTGATGGTAGCCATTGACTTCCATAGTATGGAAAACGAATACTATGGAAATCAGTGGGAAGCAGCAACTGTTGGCATTCAAATGTTCAAAAGTTCTGAGTTTATTTTTTTTTTTAGAGAAATTAATACTTTTATTCAGCAAGGACACATTTAATTAATCAAAAGTGACAGTAAAGGCTATTACATTGTTGCATTGTTAAATCTATTTCAAATAAATTATTCTGTTCTTATGAACTTTCTATTCACCCATGAATTCTGGAAAAAAAAAATGTCACTGTTTCCACAAAATTCTTAAACTGTTTTCGACAGTGATAATAATCACAACAAAAACAAATAAATCCCACACACTATCTGTACTTGCAAAAGCATCAAAAAGGGATTCTATTATACGCAACTTTTCAGTCCCATAACCTTCATCAGGCACATACAAACAAACTCTTACAACACAATACAATTTAAAATCAGCACATGATAAAACACTATGATGCATAAACACATCATCACAAATTACAATCAGAAACGTAATTATCTTTATAGAATTTCATTCATAGTAGATAGAAAACACAGAAAATTGAAATATCATAACTTTATAACATCACATTGATCAATGACACTGATAATAAAAAATAAAAAATGTTGTGCCCCAAATCAGAATATTAGAATTATTTATGAAGGATCATGTGACACTGAAGACTGGAGTAATGGCTGCCGAAAATTCAGCTTTGCCACTACATGAATAAATTAAAATATATGAAAGTAGAAAACAGTTGTTTTAAATTGTAATAATATTTCACAATATTACAGTTTTACTGTATTTTTGATCAAATAAATGCAGCCTTTGTGAGAAAAAGAGACTTAAATATTAAAAAAATCTTACAGGCTTCAAACTTTTTAACAGTTATGTATTACAAAGAGTATGAACAAAATTCCAAAAAAATAACCAGAATATTGCATATTAATATGACCGTTTCCTTTCTGTTTAGCTAACTTTCACTTCGCCCTCCCATGACCCATTTCCCTCCATGTTGGGAAATGATTGAAACAGTTTTTTTTAAATCAATACTTTCTAGATAATAGAGCAAATGTGTGTGCTATATTAAAATCATTTACCTTTTTATCTTGCACATGTTCTAGAATCTTAAAGGTGGGGTAAGTGATTTCTGGTAGCCAATGTTGACATTTCAAATCACCAACACAAACACACCCCTACCCCAAAAGTGCTCCGCCCCACACATACGTACGCAACCCAGGCAACGATTATGGCGGAATCTGCTGTATTATTATCTGCTGTATTAAACATATTATCTTTTTGGTACTCTGCCCGACTCAGTTTTCTAAAGCGTTTTTGAAAACATACATACCCCACCTTTAAGCAACTGTCCCTGATCTCTCTCTCTGTCTTTCTCATCCTACAGTAGAGAGTCATGGAATATTTCCTGATCCTGGCAATAGTGACAGTGAAAACTCATTAAGCAGCTCTCATCCTAACCAAGTTCCATTGGACCCTATAACCCCTGAACCAGTTCCTCTGTACAGCTGGCTTGCCATTACAACAACACCCTGCAGTGCCACCTGTGGAACGGGTATAATTCAGTTGTTAGTCATTACACTATTTATACAAATCTTACATTAATGTGTGTTTGTGGTTATTTCTTCCTCTGGGTAAACTAAGCGGTCTGTTAAAAGATTCCTAGAATATCACATTGTTAGATTTTCAATATTTTTGGACCTGAGGCATAAACACGTTGTGACTAATAAATGGTGTTCTGTATTATAAAATAGTGACACATAACATTCATGCATTCCAGGCCATTGCAGAGGTTTCAAAATGTCCTTACTGTTTAGATTCTAAATCAAATCCAGAGTAACCATACTTTTGTGTCTGCAAATAAAACTAAAACAGATTGGTATTCTCCCAGCAGCAGACACTGTACTTGTAAGACATCGCAATGACAATGTCATGTCTTCCTGTCTGTCTATTTAATCTGTTTGTCTGATGTGTGTGTGTGTGTGTGTGTTGCTTGTATCGAAATGACAATACCATGTGATTGAAGACGTTTGAAGCTTCGAACGTCATGCAGTATCGGAAGGTCGGGACAGCTGGTTTGAAAAAAATCAGCGCTTCGCATGACTATTGTGTTTGACTTTACATTGACTTGGTTGGTTGTGTGTGTGTGTGTGTGTGTGTGTGTGTGTGTGTGTATTAGGCAGTCGCCAGGTTCTTTTTGGCTGTGTGGAAAGAGCCACTCAAACTACTGTACCAGGGGACCTCTGTAGCTTCACCAGTCATCCTGGCCCTCAGGTAGAAGAGTGTCAATCGCAGCCTTGCCCAGCCTTGTGAGTGAACGTACACAATCTTTTACAGCAGACACTAAACTCTAAAAACACCTAGAAAAACAAACAAACCAGTACTTGAGTTAGTTCAAGAGGGACCAAGTACAGGAAAAAAAGGTAGAAGTTTTCTTTAAGTTTATTTTATTGTGCTGGTATGTTAACTTCAGTTAAGGTCAAGTATATCAATGTACTAGTATTATACTTGTAAGTGTATTTTTTTTTCTCAATAGGCCTATTTCTTGGGTCTAAATTCAGCCACATTTTAGTGTATATAGTTTTTTTGTGTGTTGCAACTATACTGTGAATTACAGTATGCTACAAGTGAACATAAAGTGTTGTCAATAAACTACTTGTTTAATAGTTTTGATACTGCAAGTGAACTTCACATCATACTTGTAGTTAGCTATTTTTATTAAATTCAGGTTCAAATTCCATCCATGTACATTTTACTCTTTTTTACTCTAGCTATTCTACCCCCAAAACTGACTTGTTACTGTAAATTTGAAAGTGTAATTTATAAGATAATGCAAATGCTTGAGTACCGTAATGAAAAAGAACTACACTTAAGTATTCTTTTAAAAGTGGTACTTATTTCAGAAATCAAACACTTTAAAAGAAAATAGTAAGTGTGAACTCGATGTAAGTGCAATTAAATGAAAATGTATTATTGTTCAAAATTCTTTTAAATGCAATTAGGTGAACTTTTTCCGGCCAACTCATTGAAATATAGTTATACAGTACTGCAAAATGTACTAATAAGCATTTATGATAAACTAAAATATACTTGAATGCCATTTTTATTTAAATTTTTATGTCATGTATGTAAAACATTTTGTATTTTTTGATGATGGAGTAGCATTTAAATAGATTAACTTTAAATTTAATATCAAATAACACTACAGTTAAATGATAAGTACCTTACATGCACTTTTAAATCTTGATGTTATTACAAAGTGCACTTGTCTGTATAAGCCCAGTATAATTCTGTATAGCTCTACATTAAAAATACATTGAAAGTATGCTCTCTTTTTAATTTTTAGTTTACAATTTTGCTAATAGAACACTTGAATAAACATTATAAGGGTAGATTTGAACACATGACAAGCAGACGTACATGCCTGCACATCTTAAAACATCTAAAAACTGTCCATGTGGTTCATTTCCAAATGGTGCAAATAAGAAGCACATGCGACTGAAACCAAGCAGTGTGTGTGTGTGTGTGTGTGTGTGTGTGTGTGTGTGTGTTTGTGTGTGTGTGTGTGTGTG